ATGCAACCTCCCTGAAGCCTTTATGGACAGTACAAGAATGTAACCTTTTAATTAGGAGCATATGCACCACAGATAACCTTATCAGACCTGAACACAGGCACACACAGGTTGAAAACATTTGGCCTGAAAACGTAGATTCTTCTTGCAGCTTTGCCAAGCATATCTGTGCCAATTCAATCAAACACAATAATGTATTGTTAAGTAATGAGTTTCCTAAAAAGGGCCAAACTCTATGTGATGCCTCATAGGAACAACTATGTGAGTGGTCCTTTTGTGCACAAGGCTCTACAAGTTAATGCAATCTGAAACCAGCATCACTTTCATTTATCTGTAGTTTCTTTCTAAGGGAAAGCTGACTATGGCCTTGCAAGAATAAATGGGGAGGTGTGCAGACTTTCAGGCTTGGTTATTCTTAATTACTGGTACAAATGTACATGCACGTGAAATATCTGATGAGGTTCTGGAAACACACTTCCAAAAAACTGACTCTAGCTCCCTGATATCACAGTCACATCTCACACAATTATTATAGTGTTTTTTGCTTGTTTGTTTGTTTGTTTTTGTCCAAAATGTCCAAATAATTATTCCTGCTTTAAGAATTAGAGTGGTGTTATGATGTATTAAAATAAATAAATAAATAAATAAACCTTCAAACTACTTAAATCTACTTCAGAAATGAAGCTTAATCTGACCTCCTCCTGGCTGGAATTCTGGGCTTCCCCTTGCAGGTCTGGTAGGGGAAGGGGCAGGTGTTGATGACTACACACTGGACCATATACAGATGCCAAGATGCCATGCAGGGGACATTCTGCTATTGGATTTTACTCATTGTCCTGCAAGTAGAGCCAAATGTTCTTAATGGCTCATGGCCACCTGCTGAACTCTTCTGCAGAGTGCAAACAGTGTTTGTACATTCTATCCTACCTGGAATTCTGCTACAGGACCTGGCTGTTTAAACAGTGGCTGAAAGTTTTCTCATTTCTTGCCTGCCTTTAGTCACTGGAGAGATGACCTAAGAGACCTCCTGCTGTTTTCTACCCTCCTCTGGCCTGAGAACCAGGACAGCTTCCCTGCTGGTTCTGTTGCAGTGAGCTCAGGGCACAGTTACTGTGTAAATAAATTAGTCACTTCAGAAGTCAGCCATACAATGAGAGGCATTATGCCAGGTTCAAACAAAAAACATAGGCCAGGTAAAGTCTGCAGAGGTATGACATTTTACATTGTCAGGAAAGCTGGTCTCATCATTTGCTATTATTTTGTTTTTGAGACTGTGAATGCTTCCTATGTCACCCTTTGTTTCCCCATGTAACATTTTTGTTCCTTGCAGGAATGTGGCCATAGAAAAACAAGGAATGTAGGAGAATGGGAAAAAGTGACAAGCAGTGGCATATCAAAAGGTTTGTATGCACAGTGGATGCAACTAATGTCTTGATATACACACTAATCAGCAATGTGCAAAAAGACTTCTGAAGCTTACAAATAATCAAGCCCTCAACACAGGCAAGCAGTTGCCCAATATTCTCTTTAGGGTTTCTCCAAGAGACAATAAAGCCTGAGGCAGTGTTTTGTACATCCTTTTTGAGGTTTCCAAACATGTCAACAAAACTTCATGGTCAATAATACCAATCAGTAGGAAACTAGAAATTATACATACTTGTGCAATCTCTGGAACTCACTCAAGTATGACCTAGAAAGCTATGGGTAATGACATTGTCATCACTGAATTTCTGTTACACTTATCCTGATACTTTGGTGAAATAAGCTGTCTGATTAATGACATTATAATTATTATACTCTGCTCATTGCATAACAAAAGCATACAAACAAGAGAAAATAAGAAGAAAACAGAAGACATACAAGCGTATATTCACAATTAATGGAAAACTTTACCATGCCAACTGAATTGCCTTAAAAATAACCATGACAGTTCAGTGTTGGATGTGGTTCATAGTGCTGCATGGATTTGCGGAGAGGTTGTGGAGCCTCCTTCTCTAGAAATATTCAGAACCCTACTGGATGCCATCCTGCACAATGTACTCTAAGTGATCTTGCTCAGCAGAGGGCTTGGACTAGATGATCTTCAGAGGTTCTTTCCAACCTCAACCATTCTGAGATTCTGTGGTTCTGTGATTCTGACACACATTTAATGGTCATAATGCTAACATCCTCCATGTCCTCCAGCATGCTCCAAAAGAAACATATTTAATTTCCAATGTGCCCTTATTTAGTAATACAAAAGCTGGTCCTGTGTAACTGAGGGCTCAAAATTTGTGTTTTCTACCATGGATAGTTTCCCTAACCTAGAAGACTACACTTGACAAACAGGGAATTTACCAAGCATTTGGCCATTAGCACTCAAACGTGCCTTATTTTGCATGTGTGGTCACCCAAACAGCAAAAGTCTTGCCCCATTTCCCTAGTGCTACCAGTCTTCTGTCACCTGGAAGCACAGAGAACTTCAGCTTCTGTTTTCAGGCATTAAGAAAATGGAAGCCTGAAAGCCATAGGAGTTGTGAATGAGCTAGGGCTTCTGAGTGTACAAATTGGGTACCCTTGTTCTTTAAAATACTATAAAAAATGAAAAATCTGAAAAACATTTAAACTGTCTCAGAACAATAATTTGCAGACTTCCTTCAACTATTAACCATCAGGTATTTCCTAATAGGTAGCTGTTCAAAATTGCCTTCTGCTTTTCCAAAACAAAACAATGACTTCTCACTACCAAATTTTCAAATTTTACTTGGAGCTGAAATTACTGGTTTCAGTTAAAAATTCTGAACAGATGCCCGTTGATTTTACATGATGAGTGAACATCTCAGGTCTGGTAAAACCATCTTCAGAGCCACATCTCGTGTTGGTGAGGCAAGGATCCTTTAGTAAGGGAACAGAACTGTCACAAAAATACCTGATATGTGATCTTCAGGTAGTGAAAATCAATCTAGGTCAAACATGTTTGTTGCTTGTTGCCTTCAAGGTGTTGGTCTGTGAGTCTGCTGAGGCACTGATAAACACCCAATTTTCACTATACAAAATCTGGCTGCCCCTATTCCAAGAGGATTTTTTTGTCTGTGTCTAAAGAAAACCATGGAAGAATACATTTAGTTCCACAAAGTGAGAATAGATAAATTTAGTACAGTCAAAGTGTTATGTGGGGAGGACACAAACACACAAGATTGAGGTAGTTCTTTCAGCCAAATATTTTCTTGCAGTAAACACTAAATAAAACCTATGGGCTATTCTCAGAAATCTCTCATCTGAAGTCATGGACTGGTTAAAAACTGACTACCATGGTGTTCCAAGGGAATGTATTCCACATTTGCAATTAAGTTCAGGACAGGAATGAATTACATGGATCAGCTATAATCCAGGGCTTCTACATCCTGGCTATCTCTTCAGTCTGTAAAGACAAGTAATTATTGTTTGTCCAGGGGGCATGTGACACTGATATCAAGAATCCTTCTCTCAGATAATTCCCTAAAGATTTGATATCTGGTAGCTCTGGATAGTAAGGGAAGGGAATAACTCCCTTTTTTTTTCCTTGGCCTAAAACAGCACTGTTGTTGACCTGAATGCATTATAAATGTCAGTGGCAAGATTTGAAATTATTTTTATTCAAATTAGATAGTTTCTCAGAGTGCAATAAAATAATTTTATGAATGCTACTCTTTTTATTATAAGCTTTCAAAAACTGCTTTTCAAAATAAATAATTCTCAGACATTTACATTAGAAGAACAATACTGTAAATAATGAGCTCAAACACCTCAGGGACTTTAGCACAAGTAATATTGTAGACTTAAATATAAGTCATTTTTTAAGCTAAACATGGTCACGACCTCTTTCAGTAGGTATGACGTTTTTCTGATAATAACAGTAACAACAATAAAAACATTTTTCACTTCTGTAGTTCTGAAGCTTGATTGAATGTTTTTTAAAAAATCATGATTTCTTTTTTTCTTCATTGTGGTTATGAATGGCAAGTTTCATCTCTGGAAATAGTAGAGTGACTGAGTCATAAATCTTGCAAAATCAGTGCTTGGAATAAGCATAATAATTCAGACTTAACTATGTGGTCATAAATAGGTTTCTTTAATACATAATAGGGTCCAAAGTTTCATAACTTTCATAATAAATCATTCTTTGGTCTCAAAAAATAGCATGGTTCTTGCTCAGATGTGTTCATTTAGATTTATAATTTCTTTTAAACTGGTTCATGTGACCCTAGCTTCAATATCACTTGTGAGTTCTGTAAGCAATATAAATCTTTGTTGGAGAAGACTAATAATTTGTCCTAAAAAAACGTGGCTATATTGAATCACTCTGGTGTCATTACATTAATTTTGTGTTATCTTAAAATCTTTAAAATAATTTCTTTCAACATTCTAGGTACTTCAGCTCTGTAAGGAAAATAGCCATATAGAGGGGTGTCACATTAAGTGATGGTACCATTAGTACCAAAACAAGGGGTTGGAGGTGGGGACGGGGGTAGGGGGAACACAAAATAGCCCAGGCTCCATTCACATAATCAGTATGTATCATTAGTAACAATCAGATGTACTGACCAGTGAAGCAATTTGCAGGCAGGACTTTGTGAGTGAGAAAATCCAGAATTTTTTACCAGCTGCACCACAGTGTTCCTGTGAGATGTTAGCCTCCTCATTCAACTTGTGCAATGTTGCCAAGCCCACTTATACAAATTAATCAACCAGCTCTTCCCCTCCTCTTAAGCTCTAAGATTTAATAAATAATAATTAAAAAGGCTGTAGGTACTGTAGGTACATTTTGCTTCTTTGCTTCCAAGTTTGATGGAAGTAATATTTTTCAAGTTCCCACCACCACCTTTCAGAAACACACATATGCATTATTATATTCCCAAACAGAATTTATACTCTCATGCAATGTCTTGGCTCCAGGAGCTGGAACATTCAAAAGAAATCTACCATAAGATCTGCATTGGAACCAAGAACTGGATAACTTCTGTTCTGGAGAGTCCAGCTTTCCTGCTTGCAGTGAGAATGCTCTTCCACTGACTGCAACTGCTTCATGTGGATTTACAAAGATTTGGTTCATATTTACAGGTCTCTGAACTGCTCAAGAGAAAGGTATGTTATTCATGCTGCATGAAGAATGCTGTAATGTCTAGCTTTGAAGTCTGCTCAACTGTTGGCCAGAGAGCTGATGAGACTTACTCAATTTCTAGAGTCCTTCTCTAAAATCGTTGTCCTTCTGTAAAATTGTTGCATTTGTGTAAATAGTAGATAAAGTGCCAGGTAGGTGGCACTTGAAAATATTTACTATAGTTCCTGTGTGTTACTAGACCAATAAAGATATGTTACTGTATGTACACTGCAAGTGCTTTTCTCTCTGGAAATCCTCACATCAGACTGTAACAAGACGGGTTGCATCCTGTACTCTGTTACACTGGTGCATGTTAGTGTTAACTCCACCTCACTTCTTTGAGTGCTGGTGGTGTGAAAGAGGTGTCAAGTGTAGCACTGCAATGTCCCTCAGTGTGTGACTGCCTTTGGGCTCAAACACATTTCCCTTAACCTTCACGCAGACCAATGTTGTGAATACTGTCTTGCAGTGGAAGCACATTTTCTGTAACACTGACTTTCTGGAATTGTATTTTTGTAAGATTTAACTGCATACAAAACAACTGTTACGACAGTCTTCTTTGATCTTTGCACAGACTTCCATGCTTATCTTATTTTACCGCACTTTGAAGTAATTGTAAACAATGGTATGGAAATATAGAACGAAATCTCTCTAGAGAAGGATGGGGAAATTACTGCAGTAGAAGAACCATAGAATACATAGCTACAAGGGACTATAAGAGGTTGCACACTGTAAGCATTTGATTTAGCATGGATTTGGGAAGATTACTGCAGTATAATAATGTCAAATCAATTTAGAATCATTCTTTGCAGCAGTATAGTGTTTAAAAGGAAAGAGTCTTGTTTCTGAATGTCTGACCAAATGAAGTTGAACATTCTCTTTTTCAAGATAGGTTTCAACATGTGGACTCTGCATTTATTCCAACTCCTTGTATTCCATGACAGTGTAACTTCTGAGAGTTATTGTACTTATAGTTGGTGATTTCTTTTCAGAAATTCAAGAGGGAGCAGAATCAAACCTGGCATACCACAAAATTTTATGTAGTGGTTTTGTAAAATGAGAAACAATATTGCTTGAAGTAGAAGGGGAAAATGGTTCTCTGGTGGGCTTTTCTACAGCAGCAAGGGAAAACTAGCAACATGGTGGAAAGTAATTTTATATTTTGACCTCTCAAATTTTCACTAAAGCACTTTCATGTTCTATGAGAACTGTGCCATAACTCCTGTGCCAATTATTTTAATTCTTTAATCTCTTTCTATTACTGTGTCAAATCTGAGTTTCTTAATCCCTTTCCTTACTGGAAGGGGAAAAATCTGTCCTCCACATAAAAAGATATATGTGATATTAACAGGCTGAAGAGACAACCTGTGAACTTGTTTGTGTTTTATCAAGAAATGAATCATAAAAGTGAGAAACTGGCTCTGAGAGTTAAGGGAAAAGAAGAAGATGTGGCATGGGGCTGATTTCACATGCACTGGTATAGACCGTAAGTAACTCTGATGAAGAGGCAGTGGCACAGGGGCCAGTGACACCACGAGCACTGCCCATCAGGATGTCTCATCTATCTGTACAGTAGAGGTACATGAGGGTAATTTTTTGTTTATTGTCACTGTAGATATGCTGCTTTTCCTACGCTACTTAGTCATCCAGTAAAGATCTTACAAGGTAGCTGGAAAACTAGAGAAACAAGCAAAAGCTTAGCTATTAAAGCATATATACTATTTGTGAGGATCTGCAGACTTCTTAGCCCTTTTCTGGGTTTTCCAAAATGCTTCCTTATATACTCAGGAACCACCGCGAGGGACTAAAAATGATCCAAGGTCATTTATACATCTGGAAACCCAGGGGCACATACCTATCTTGCCAAAAAAAAACAAAAACAACAACAACAACAAAACAAACAAATAAAACAACCACCATCAACAAAACTGACTTTTCAGATAGGGAAAAGATCAGTTCAAACCAAATCCTGTAACCAGGAGGGACCCCTCTGTGATCAGCAGGTCTTCTGATTCACTGGCAAGGTTAACTGGGGCCTCGCTACACTTTGTCTAGAAAGAGACAGGTAAGCATGAAATGACTTGTCTGAACCAGCAAAAGCTGTCTAGTACTGAAAATGGGAAAACAAATCATTGTATATATATCTGTACTGTAAACTGTGGAAGGGACTCAGAGCATAGCGCTCTCTCACCCTACCCTTCTGGGAGCCTTGGGTTACAAGAAGCACATTCCCTCTGGTTTATTGAAAACAAACATGAGATACTGGTTTGAATGACAAGAGACAGGTTGAAAGAAATAATGCCTAGATTGCCTTAGTGGGCAAGAGCCTCTTAGGGAAGAAATGGACTCTCTCCTCTAGCAATGAGATCCAAGGACACAGTACATCAGCCATTTCCAATTGGACCATGCCTGGACAGAGACAAGACTTGCCTCTGTTAGTACTGGTTTGGTTGTCACAGTTGTTGTTCTGTGGGGTGTATACTGTCACTACCAATGGCATCTGACCAAGGCAGAGTTGACTCTGAGCTCTATATCCACCCACGCTCTATCAGGATGTATCCCACTCTGAAAATGCAGCTACTAGCTCTGTTCCTCTCCTTCTGCCATTTCCACTGCATTTCCCTGCTTTGTGTTACTTGTAAGCACAGAACAGTGGGACTCAAAATCTGAGCTAATATGCAGTGGTCTGAGCAGGACCAAGAGTGCAGAATGAGGTTGTGATGTACTCTGGAGCTTTTTGTGGAGCTGGATTTGATGCTTTAATATGCACAGTACAAAACAGAGAGTTGCACTGATGATTGCTGCATTGCACTCTTAAGTTAAGCAACTCTCAATTTTGGTGATAATAAACTTGTGACTGCAATGCCTCAGTCATTTCATACAGTAACAAAGTCACCCCAGCTGTAAAAAAATAAAAATAAAAATAAAAATAAAAGGACCATTGTGTCTCATTTTTCAGCACTGTAAAGAGAGAATCCAACTTTCCCAACCCCCACACAAACACACTTTTTCATTGACTGACATGCCAAATTCTCAGTCATACAGGCAAAATCCCTTTGAAGGTTACTCAGAGGTGAATGGCTGCAGGATCAGGCCTACAGAAAACACTGGTTGGTTTACCTTTCTCTTGCATTGCCTGTAGTCTGCATGATATCCCTACAGAAACTGCAGGTAGGCATTCTGTTAAACTAAAGGCTATGTATTTTTGTCTCCACAGCTGCGGCAGGACAAGTCACAAGAGCATTTTGCTGTTGATAAAGCAGCAAAAATCTTAGACAATATTCTGCCAGTGGCAATACACCATAATATTAAAAAGAGACTGCAGCAGGTATATAGATTTTGACAGAAAAATAAATCATTGTAGACAGTTCTACCTCCTTCCCCCCTCAATTACTTCTGGTAATGGTATATTCAAATCAATAAAACTATGTTAAGTAAAAACAGAAAAAGAAATTGCATCAACTGTATTTGGAACTGATTCCTGAATCTTCCAAATTGCTTTTCTTAAATGGAGAAATAAGTTTTCCCCAGCTCTCAGAAAGAGTGATTTTTTTTCTCTTTTGGATAAAAAAGTAACTTGCCTCTAAAAAAAAAGTAAAAAATCGAATGAACTCTATGGTAGGCAGCTCTTTCTTCTGGGGCTCTTTTGTTTTACCTACATCCATGTATAAATACTGCTATGATAGCCATATTCCTGTTTCAAACACTTTGTCCTCAACAATGGCACTCCCTTTCCCTCCATATCTATCACTGGTGACCTCTCTTTATCCTCAAAGCCCTTTAGTGCTCCCCTGGCCTATGGTACCCACCACTGTTTTCATGTTTGTAAGAACTGTATCACTGTTGTCTTCTCTATGGGGTTCAGAGCTGTGTGAACAGTCACAGTGCCAGGGTAGGGGTTGAGAATTCATGGGGTTAACAAGACTTTTAACCTAGTGTTCAGAGTTTTATTAATGAGCATGGATTTCTATTTCTATAGGATCTTTTCAACATGGCTGGGCATGTTTGTTTTGTTTTGTTTTTCCCAGGTGTGAATTTATTGATGTGTATTTAGCAGTTAAAAGGGATGAAATGGGACAAAGGCTAAGGGGACTACTGCTCCTCCATTAGTTTCAGGGCAGGTAATAAGGCCATAAGGTCACAAGGCTGTGCAATCATTTTCTTCATGCTCAGGCTGGAGCTGAGTTTGTCCCTGTTGAAAGGAAAGACACATATTGCTGTGATCCACACTCAGCATTGGAAGCATTTTCTTTAACAAGTGTTACAGTCCTGGAGGACACATGGACTGTGAAAGTCCTCACACACTTCCATTGCAAAGTTTGCGTCCTATAGCCAACATCCCCCCTTATGCTGTGTTATATCACAGATCTGAACTCTGTTTCAGGGTCTTGAGGTTGTGCAGAAATTTTGCAAATCCACCAGTAAAGCTCCAGATAGAGTTCAAAATAGGCAGATAATATTCACTAGCAAATCAATTCAATAAGAAAATGCCTGTATTCATCCTGGACCATGCAAATTAGATGTATGCTTTTCTTCTGACACTTAGCGATACAAAGTTTAATGATTCCAGGCCCAGGTTGCTCTGAAGATACCATATTTTATCATATCAACAGCAATTTTTCTTACCTGTCCCAACATTTAGTCGGAGTGACCTTTCCTGACTTATTTTTCATTTCTAAAGCAATCTGATTTTTTTGCAGATCTAAGATCTTGGTTTCCAATTCTGTGCTACCCTAACAGGAAATTAGATGTACTTCCTTCAATGCTTCCAAGCAGAGAGAAATTCACTCCATTATTCAGTGATGAAATCTTGCAGTGAGTAAATGACACCATGCAGACAGTGTAACAGCTCTGCTCCTGCCTCTTGTGAGGAAGAAGTATAACAGAGATGTTAGACATCTTCTCATCTGATTCCCTGCCCTGTCTGATTTAAGTTACCAAAACTGCAGGGAAGAAAGAAGTGGAGGACAGAGGGGCAAGGCAGAGCTCTGGCTGTCCTTGTTCTGCTTTGCTGCTCCAGAGGGGGCTTTTCTGAGGAAGTCTGAGAAGATCAAAAAGAAGTTGAGCCCTCAGTGTTTCACAATGTTAACTATGTTGCTGTAAGAGTAGCCTTTTTTTTTTTTTTTTTGTGACAGTATTAGCATGATGCGGTTCATTTCCGTAAGTGCCACTGTATGAGATCTGTCCACTTCATTTAGACATCTTATTTATCTGTTGATCCCTGGTGAAAAAAGTCTTCTGATGGAACTGATTCAGTTAGCTGCATTGTAAATGGAGAGATGTAAGAGTCTTTGAGGGCCTCCAGAGAAAGACCTTACTCAGAAGCGTACATGTAGGTGGAACTGATTCTACTTTGTCAGTTTTCACTTCTGAGACACACCAAAAAAGAAGCTCAAATTAAATTTGTAGATTGTTTTTGAGCCTTTTTTTCCCCAGTAGTAAATTAGGATATCTTCCTTAGTTAGAAGTCTTTATTTCCTTCTCTGTCATAGATTTGTCTAATTTTCTCATGTGCCTTTAGTTTGCCACAACACTTTGATTCTTGGTCTGATTTGTGTCCATTCTGTCTCCTCTTGTTTATTTATTTATTTATGTATTTACTTACCAACCCCTTTCCCCTGCCTGTTTCCCCTCAGTGTAAAATATGTTTGCACTCCTCCCATGTCCCACGATCTACCCGTGGCTAACTGCAGACTTGTCTTTCCCTTTGCCTCTGAAAGCTCATCAAAACATTGGTTTCTTTTGTGGCCTGACTTTCTCTTCACTATTCCTATAGTGAAGGCCTATTTCTAGCTTCAGTACTGTTCTCTGCACATTGCCAAGGTTCATTCAGAGCCAGTTTGTCATGTGCTTCCTTGTTGGTGTACCCTCAGTAGCATTGGCCTTGTCTTTGATTTGCTCATCAGTAGTGCCTAGCCTTTTTTTTTGCAGAAGTAGCCCGTCCTTCACAGCTCCTACATGCATGATATAACATAGAAAGGTCATATTTGAAACAAATACTGAATAATATACTAAATAATACCAGCCTTGACAGACCTCAGCTGCTTCTCTGGAACATGTTTGTTTCTCGTATTAAGTATTTGTGACTGTGTTTGTCCCCTTGTGTTCTTCTTAGGTCAGGTCAATCACAGCATGTGTCATGCCATAAATGAAGTGCAGAATGTGACAATATTAATTTTTTGATATGCTCCAGGGTGAAAAAAATCACTTTGAAATTTAAGAATTAAAATAAGAAAAAAAAAAAAAAAAAAAGGAATGATTGTGAATGATTGTTTAATGTTCTCTGAGACTTCCTTTTTGAAAGTCTGATTACCATTCATTATAAATGAATAATTCAGACTGCAGCTTTCAAACAAGATGGAGTTACCTGAGCAGGTCTTTCTCTGTCTCACAATACCCACCCCCATTTCACACCTCCAATATAAGACAAGATCTGCCTTGATAGAGAAAACTGCCAATGCTGAGGTTAGTGCAGGAGTAGGCCTCCATCAGTGATATCTGTGTATGTAAATTTTAGGATAAAACTTGCCTAAAGCCTACAGATGAGGAACAGCTTTTCCATGTTTGGGTATTATGTCTATCTACCGACATCAAATGTCTTTGCATACTAGTCATTTTTCCTGGACAGATTTGAAGTCTGGGAGTCACAATCAATAATTAAAACAAATAACACTCTAAGCAACAGTCAATACTAACTCTACAAAAAAAAATTCTGCTCCACATCTGACAGCTACTGAATGGACTATGACCATCTTACTTTATACAACTCAAGCCATTTGTTTGTGCTTCTGAACAGCA